CCCCCGTCATAAAAAAAGAAAGAAAAATCGAAGGAGTGAAACCCTTGATGCAGAAAGCATGTCGAATGTGACTCAGCCATTGTCTTTATCAAAGGTCGTCGGTGTTTGGCCAATGGTTCAGTTTTGTCTTAACGCAGACTATTGAGTTTTGACTTTCAATCCTGCATCCATTTACAAATGTTGGTGTCACAACGCGATGGAATCAGGCGCTCGTCAATGTTTGGGCAAAAGAGTTATTTGTATTATCTTAACACCTGTTCTTTTGCCCTACTTTTGATATAAAAATACCATCTATCTTGAATAGAAGTCGAGATATTTGAGAATGAAGGAGATGGGGATCGTCTGGTGTCAGAGGTTAAAGTGGTAAGAAAAGGGTTGCCAAAGTTTGGTAACTTCCAAAGCTGTAGTGTCCTTGGAAAGTGCACATTTACATTGTTTTTTGTTGTTGTGCTTTTGATCAACATTCTTCAGTAATATCCACATATAAGGTGTTCAGCTCCCCCCCCCCCCCAAAAAAAAATAAAAAAATAAAAAATAAAATAAAATAAATAAATAATTGAAGAAAATTGCCTAGAGCACGGAACAATGTCGATGTCTCCAATTTCATTGTTTTGACGAGCGCCTGATTTCACCGCGATGGCACAGGTATTGAGCTGTCAAGGTTCTGACTCGTGCTCACATCACTTCCAGGCTGGGGTGTTGTGCTGGAATGTGTCATTAATATTTGAAACTATACGTTTTGTCCTTGAACAGAGACAAAGCTCTCACAGATAAATAATAATAATGATGCTTCCGTTTAAGAAAAAAACAACAACCCCAGAATAGGAGATACTATGAGTAATCACAAGTGGAAAGTGGAACTTCGACAAAGACAAGTCTATAAATAGAGAGACATATAGAGAGACAGGTAGATGAATAGACGAAAGAGAGAGAGAGAGAGAGAGAGAGAGAGAGAGAGAGAGAGAGAGAGAGAGAGAGAGAGAGAGAGAGAGAAAGAGAACGAGCTATGGCAAGATCGCAGATGGACACGCTCATAAACACATACGTCCATGCATCCATCCATTCATCCATCCATCCATCCATCCACCCATACAAACATGCATACACATATACATACAGCACGCCCAGAAAGGATAGAATATCAAAGACTAGTGGCAACACATTAATTTCATTATCCACCCCCCAAAAAAAACACACAAAAAACAACAACAACAACAAACAAACAAAACAACAACAAAACAACTTCGCCTCTTTTCATCCACCCTGTATCATTCTATTAAGTAGCCTGTGATTAGAAAATAACTCTTCCGCTTTTATCTAGGATAATCTCCCCCCTTTCCCCCCTTCCCCCCTTCCCCCTCTTTTTCGATTTTACATATCTGAGTGTGTGTGTGTCTGTGTGTATGCATGCATGTATGCATGTATGTATGTATGTATGTATGTATGTATGTATGTATGTATGTATGTATGTATGTATGTATGTATGTATGTATGTCA